TGTGTGTGTGTGTGTGTTACAATTCCTTAGTTTCTGGTTTTGTGCTTATTATGGATGGGGTTCTGTCTTCTTCATTTGTCTTCTGTTAATGTTCTGCTTTGTTCCTGAGTGCCCCATTCCATTATCTCCTTTAGTAAGTAACTAGTGGGAGTCTATTACCATCAGAACTAGGTGTTAGGGGTTGAGAGATCAATAAGGAAAGATTCTTGCTCTCAAAGGAATCACAAAAGAGCCATATTCATAACCTAAGGTGTTTGTGAAAGCATTTTATAAACCACATTACAGGACTTTTTATAAATTGTGACATACAAAAAGAAAGAGAGGGAAAGAGAGAAAGAAAGAAAAGAGAGAGAGAGAGAAAGAAAGAAAGAAAAAGAAAGAAAAGGAGAGAGAGGGAGGGAGAAAGGAAGAGAGAGGGAGAAAGAAAGGAAGGAAGGAGGAAGGAATTTTTTTTTTAAGATTTTATTTATTTATTTGACAGAGAGAGAGAAGGCAAGAGACGGAACACAAGCGGGGCAGGGGGAGTGGGAGAGGGAGAAGCAGGCTTCCCGTGGAGCAGGGAGCTCAATGTGGGGCTCGATCTCAGGTCCCTGGGATCATGACCTGAGCCAAAGGCAGACGCTTAACCGACTGAGCCACCCAGGCGCCCCAGGAAGGAAGAAATTAATCGTGAGATATAATTATTTCTCTTCAGTCCTAATTACTTTTTCTAAATTTTTTTTAAGATCTTATTTATTAATTTGAGAGAGAGAAAGTATGAGCAGGGGAAGGGGCAGAGGGAGAGGGAGAAGCAGACTGCCCGCTGAGCAGGAAGCCCAATGTGGGGCTCAATCCCAGGACACCAAGATCATGACCTGAGCCGAAGGCAGACGCTTAACTGACTGAGCCACCGAGGCGTCTCTACCCTCACATCTTAATCTCAAACATCTCATATTTTTTTCCCCTCCCTTTTTTTTTTTTAAGTAATCTCTACACCCAACATGGGACTTGAACTCACAACCCCAAGATCAAGAGTTGCATGTTCTCTGGATTGAGACAGCCAGGTGCCCCAAACATTTCACATTTTAAAAATAGTTTCTTGGGGTGCCTGGGTGGTTCATTCGGTTAAGCATCTGCCTTTGGCTCAGGTCATGATTCCAGGATTCGAGCCCTGAGTCAGTCTCCCTGCTCAGCAGGTGAGTCTGCTTCTCCTTTTCCCTTTGCTTCTCCCCCCAGCACGTGTTTGCTCTCTCTCTCAAATAAAATCTTTAAAAATAATTAAAAAAATAAAAATTGCTTCTTCCTCTGTACCAAATGATAACTTTCTAGTCCTGGTATCTTTTCAATTTTCTGGTTAATCTTAACCAGGCTTCCCCACCAATTATTTATACTTTCTCTAATATCTTCTTGTTTTCCCTTCCATGTCATAATATGTATGCTTTGTGAAGTGTTTATCTACACATGCACATAAATAAGATCTGAGTTTTAGCTGCTCATTTTATTTTTACTATTTCTCCCTCAACTAAGTATCCTATCGATGATATACCATACTTAAGCACAGTATCTGTCTTTTGCCAATTATGTATTATAACTCCACATTCTTAATATACTGTACCTTGAAAATAGTATGTTTACATGATTTTTTTCTTGTTGCTCATGAAGCAGGTATTAAAAAAAAAAAAAACCTCCTAAGTATCCCAGCAGTTAAAATATTCTACTAATAGAATATTTGCAAATGAAAACAAAAGTATTTGTTGATAGCAAGAGCGCTGATGCATAAGATTAAAACACAAAAACCACCACCAACAAATTTTTGGTTTAAATCAAGGGGTGCCTGGGTGGCTCAGCTGGTTAAGTGTCAGACTCTTGATTTCAGCTCAGGTCTCAGGGTCACAAGATGGAGCCCCAACTGGGCCTTCATGCTCATTTAGGAATCTGCCTGAGAGTCTCTCCCTCTGCCCCTCCCCCATTCACACACACTTGTGAGCTGTCTCTCAAATAAATAAATCTTAAAAAAAAAAAAAAACCTGAAGATGGGAAATGTAATGTTGTATCTAGCAAGTAAAAAACATCTAAGTAAGACATTCTCTGAATACCAAAAAACTTTTCAGATGATCAAAATCTTCAAAGATAAAAATATTTATACCCCATCCTTAGAAATAATTTATTATACAAATGTACCATTCTTAGAAACAGTTTATTATATAATTGAGTATTTTAATTTCATAAATAAGGGTGGTTGGTAAAAATTTAACAAAAAATATGGGGAAAAACTTACAAAATAATATACCTTAAATATAAAGAATGCAGGGGCACCTGGGTGGCTCAGTCGTTAAGGGTCTGCCTTCGGCTCAGGTCATGATCCGGGGTCCTGGGATAGAGCCCCACATCGCAGGGAGCCTGCATCTCCCTCTCCCACTCCCCCTGCTTGTGTTCCCTCTCTCACTGTGTCTCTCTCTGTCAAATAAATAAATAAAATCTTTAAATATATATATATATATATGTATATAAAGAATGCTAAAATCACTCGAAGTTATAAGCATTTTCTCCCCAGGTAATATGTATCACTACATCCCAGGGAACAAATATTTGATAAATCATAGTATACAGGGGGGAGGTATGTGTATGTGTGTATGTGTCTCAGTGTAAACTGCACAAATAAAATTATATATATATATATGCATTATATATGTTATATATATCTAATTATATATATCTAGATTTATATATTATATAGATATCTACATATATGATCTTGGTAGAAAAGATAACAAAGTAATTTATTTATTTTATTTTATTTTGACTTAAAGTAATTTAAATTATTTTGTTTCAGAATCTGGAAAGTTTTTTCCACAGACAGGAGGAAAGTTTTTGCATTTTTAGGGTTTTAGAGAATTTGGGGATTATACTCAAAGGCATTGTATTAGAGAACACAAAGAATAAGCAATGACAAACACAGGAGGACAGGATTTAGATGAAACTAGAATATGGAGAAGCAGTACATTAGGACCTGATAACAGGAAAAATAAACTCTCAGGTGTCTTTGTTATTTTTATTTTATTTAGTTTTAAGTAATCTCTATGCCCATGTGGGGCTCGATCTTACAACCCCAAGATCCAGGGTCACATGCTCTACGAACTGAGCCAGCCAGGCACCCCTAAATTCTAAGTCATTTTAAATGATGAGAAACAGAACAAAAACTTAAGCCAAATTCTGATTTCTGTCCCAATTATATGCATAAAAATGGTTCAACAAATGTGTCAGAAAACATTTTTCTTACTAAATATGGAAAGGTAATGTCTTCCATGGAGTTTAACTTTTCATATCCTCTGCTTTATTTTTCAGGGAAAAGAAAACAGTGTTTTCACCATTACCACAGACTAATGATGATCATTTACTCTAAGACAGAGAACAAGGTATCAATCAACTTTCATTCCTGTCTCTCCTGCTGCTTCTCTGTGAGGTGCTCTAAAAGAGATCTATAGGAGATATGAATAACTGAAACATTGGGGATAATCTAATTTACCTTATTCGAAAAAATAAGACCAACACTCATAAGGCTTCAAGCAAGAAAGACCAGATCACAGGTTCAGGTCTGTAGAAGAATTACAGGGCAGACACATAATCCTATTCATAAACAGCAACCAATGTTAACAGTTGTTTCATTTTCTCCTTTTCTCTTTCTCTCCAAGACTAATTAGCATTACACAGTGTGTTCCTTGTTACAAAAGCCTTCTTTCAGCTTTAGAACTATGGTATCTTTTGATTACCCACAACTCTGATCTAGTTTTTCAGTTATCCAGAAGCCAGACACTCTGTAACACTTCAGACTAGCTAAATTAAAAAAAAAAAAAAGCTATTTTAATAAAATAGAAACAACTGTAACAAGTGGATGCAACATGTATACTATCTTTACTTTGTGAATCATCACTTCAAAGATAAACTATAAAAGAATACCTTTTTATATACTTACTGCTGAAAGGCTGCCATTGTATTCTCCAAATTTTCTCCAGCACCTGTGAAAACATTAAATTTCATTTACTTAGCTAATTTCAACTTTTTAAAAAAATTTTTAATTTTTAAAAAGATTTTATTAATTCATTTATTGTATTAATTTATTCACACACACACACACACACACACAAGCAGTGGGGAGGGGCAGAGGGAGAGGGAGAAGCAGGCTCCCCGCTTAGCAGGGCTCTGGGCTTGATCCCAGGACCCTGGGATTATGACCTGAGCTGAAGGCTGATACTTAACTGACTGAGCCACCCAGGAGGTGCCCCTAATTTGAACTTTTTAATTTTTTCAGAAATTTACTTTAATAAGACACATCTAGTGAATCTTGATGTTTATATGCTGTGTAGACATTACAAGTTTTTTAAAGAGTGTAATGGTATTTTGAATTGCTTTTTGGCTGCACCAGGAAGAATCAAAGATTAAAACAGCCACAGCAACACAGAAAGGTTAGAACCTAAACATGTTTTTTAACCTACAATATCTGCTTGTCATAGGAAAGACAGAAGAGAACTTGATACATATACACCTCCTCAGAAATAGTTAAACCATCTCCTCTACATCCGCATACTCTCTTGTGCATCTCTCTAATAAGAATTTATCATATCATAAATGATTAAACTGACTCCTTTTCCTATGAATTACTGAAAATAAGTGACTGTTTTAATCACTTTGGCTGAAGGCAATATAGTGTAAATAAAATCTTTTAAAAAATATACAGTGTAGTAGTTGAAGGTGGAGTTAGGATCTTTGCTCTCAAATCTATTTGATATTTGCATGACCTTGGGAAAGTTACAAAACCTCTCTGGGGCTGAGCTTCCTTATCTGTAAGAAATGAGGGATGCCTGGCTATCTCAGTCAGTGCAGCATGAGACTCTTGATATCAGGGTTGTGAGTTTGTGCCCCACATTGGGGTTAGAGATTAATTTAAAAAATAGAATTAAAAAAAACTTTTTTTATTAAGTAAAGTCTACCCCCAAAGTGGGGCTCAAACTCATGACCCCAAGATTAAGAGTCGCATGCCCTACTGACTGAGTCAGCCAGGTGCTCCCCCCAAAAAATAAAATCTTAAAAAAGAAAAAAAAAAAAAAAGAATGAGGATAAAGATGGCACCTATCTCATAGGATTTAGTTAACTATGAGATCATAGTTAAATGAATTCACATGTCAGGTGCCCTATGTCATCAATTCAAAAAATTAGTTTTCCCCTTTTTAAAGTTAGGGTGCATTTTACAATGGATGGATGGTGTGTAATAATTTATCAAGATTTTCTCTCTCAGCAGCATATTAAATATGTGCATTTTAGGGGCACCTGCGTGGCTTAGTCGGTTGTGTCTGATGCTTGCTTTTGGCCCAGGTCATGATCTCATGAGCCCAAGACTGAGCCATGCGTTGGGCTCTGCGCTGGGGTTGGGGTCTGCTTAAGATTCTCTCTCTCTCCCTCTGCCCCTCCCCCACCTCGAAAAGAAAAGGAAATGTGCACTTTATAACTAATGGCATTAGATTTAATGAAATAGTGACTATTTAATAAAAGTAAAGGATTATTGCTATTATTATTACTATTGCCACTATTAGAGTAACTGGTGCTTGGTGAATGTCCACTGACTGATGAATGAATAATATTGCAATGACAAAAAGGACACAGATAAAAAGTATCCTCTAATATTATATATACTAGGTAGAATCAATTAACATAACATACTAGCCATAAGTTTTAAAATATTTTAAAACTAAAAGATTTCAGTATTACTAAATAATTAATGGGATGTACAGGAAAAACACGAAATGCTTTTCCAAATACTTAAGAAAAACAGCCAATTTCTTTTTAGCAAAAAGAAACACTTCAAGTTTATGGTACTGTTCGAGTATTAGCATTAAAATGTTTCACATACAATACCATCTGGACATATTTGTGAGAGTGTTAAAATTTTCTTCTTTTATATTGTTAGATTTTACTTTTATGGCAACCTAATTGATAATCAATAGAAACACAAAGTATGAAGAAATGAATATATTAACTGAATGTTCTAGAGTCCCATAGTTTAGTAGAGAGAACAGAATACCCATGTGAAAAAAGCTACTTTGATTTTAGGTTTTACAGTTGTTGCACAATAGAAAACATATGAAGTAAATCTAAGATTATAGCTTTTGTCAAAGTAAGTGCTCTTTTAAAAAAAAAGTGCTCTTTAGGTTAAATGACTTTTTCTGTTTCTTTATTTATTTACTTGACAGAGAGAGAGCACAAGCGGGGGGGGGGGCAGCAGGCAGAGGGAGAAGCAGGCTCCCAGTGAAGCAGGGAGCCCAATTTGGGGCTTAGTCCCAGGACTTTGGGATCATGACCCAAGCCAAAGGCGACACTTAAACCAACTAAGCCACCCAGAAGCCCGGTTAAATGACTTTTAAAAATCTAGTTGGTGTTGGGGCACCTTGGTGACTCAGTCAGTTAAGCCTCTGACTATTAAATTTCAGCTCAAGTCATGATCTCAGGGTGGTGAGATCAAGCCCCATGTCGGGCTCTGCACTAGCGTGGAGTCTGCTCAACACTCTAGAATATGACCAAAAAGGATAAAGAGTGCTACTATGTTATTCATTTAAACCTAACAGTTTAAGCATGAAAACACTGTTACTTAAGATCTTTGATTTTATTATTTATTTCATAAATTCATAAATATAAATTTATGAAATTAGTAGCCAGTATTAAATAAACAATGAAGAGACAATCAAGATATTAATAATTAATAGAAGCTACACACTGTACTTAGCACTTTATATATCATTTCATTAAAACCCCACAACCAGAAAAAAGTTGGGTACAGTCACATAGCCAAAGAGGGGAACTGATTCAAGCATAAGCTATATGATTTCAGATCCCATCTTTTTACCACTATGTGGCAGCTTCTACGCTGCCATTTGTAGAATGCCTTTATTTCAGTTTTACAGATAAGTTATTCATATTGGTCCTTATTCCCATATTCTTCTTGTTTATAAAGCTTGAAGATAAATTCTACAATGATAACACCCACAAATTACCTGTTAGATTCATATGGTGAAAGCCTGGAGAGTAACTAAGGGACTAATGAAAAAGTATGCCATTCCTCTCCAAGGAATTATTTGGTGGTAGCTCGTCTCATGAAATTATTTGAATTCCTTTTCTTTCCAGTTATCGTTATCATTTATAGAAGCATGCTTGCCACTAATTTTCCTTCTCCTTCAATAATCAGTTTAAACAATGCCTGGCTTTGCAAATCACCATCCACCATATAAACAAATGTTTGATTTTTAATTAGTTATTAAATTATGAAATGGGAAAGAGAATGAGTGTCAGATTTTACATGCTGTCCTAATGTTTATAATTCCTCTGCTTACATCATACTGCCTCCCTCTTCCAGTTCACATTTTTCACTTGAGAAAACCTTCTCTGAAAAGTCCCAGTTTTCTTTATTTATAGCTTCACTATATACTTCCCAAGTTTTCATTCTATACTAACTTTCTCTCTCTTATATAATGCTTCATAATTACTTTGTAACCAGTTAATCTTTCTTTCTTCTTTCTTCTTTCTCTTTCTTTTCTTTCTTTTCTTTCTTTCTTTCTTTCTTTCTTTCTTTCTTTCTTTCTTTCTTTCTTTCTTTCTCTCTCTCTCTCTTTCTTTCTTTCTCTCTTTCTTTCTTTCCTTCCTTCCTTCCAGAGAGAGAGCAGGGGGAGGGGCAGAGGGAGAGGGAGAAAGAATCTCAAGCAGACTCCATGCTGGGCATAGAGCCTGACAAGGGGCTCAGTCTCATGATCCTGAGATCACGACCTGAGCCAAAACCAAGAGTCAGACACCTAACCAACTCTGCCACCCATGTGCCCCGTGATCAGTTAATTTCTGATAGGACAGGAAAAGTAAAGGAAACATTTTCTTTTGTATCTTTAATTAGATTTAGATGCTATGAAGGAAAGAAATATCTGCTTAGTTTTCTTTTTGTCTCCCAAATGTTTTATATACCAATAAACATTGTAGAGTTGTTTTATAGATGTGCTCTAACCACCACTATTATTAACATCTTTGTATACATGATAAATGTGCGATGTTTATAAAACCAATGACAAATATGACCATGTGCATCAGCCACACGCACACAAAGAAACCTTCAAAATTAAGTATTTTCTGATATTGGAAAAGACAGCTTAGTGCAAATAAAACATATCCTAATGTTTGAGATATGATCCTATCTCAACTCAAAATGAAATTTTTCAGTAAATCAAGCAATAAAGTAAGTTCCTTCTTCATTTCTTCCCTCTTTTTTTTCCTTCCTTCCTTCCTTGCTTCCTTCCTTCCTTCCTTCCTTCCTCCCTCCCTCCCTCCCTCCCTTCCTTTTTTGAGAGAGCACACAAGCAGGGAGGAGGGCAATGGGAGAGGGAGAGAGAATCTTAAGTAGGCTCCAAGCCCAGCACAGAGCCCAACACGGAGGATCAATCTCACGACCCTGAGATCATGACCTCATGATCTGAAATCAAGAGTTGGGACCTTAACCAACTGAGCCACCCAGGTGCCCTCTTCTTTATTTCTAAATTCATTTGTTCATTCAACATTTACAGTGTGCCTTGGAAATAGTATACATGACTTACATAAGAGCAAAAAGAGCTTGTAAGGAGTAGAGATGGTATATACCAAGAGCATTTCTCCAAATGAGTTCCCTGGAACACTGCACACTTTATTTCTGTATCTCAAAAGGAAAAAATGGTGAAATCTGTATTTATAGGTATAAGAAAAAATTAAACACATCAATAGCACAGAAGGATATTCAAACTGTATACTGATACCCAGGCAGCATTTACTAACTACTACATGTATGCTCCCTTCAATGATAAGTGGTTTTTGTTATGTATCTGGTCATAATTTCAATAATTTTTCTATAATGTTATTTTTTATGTTAATTTTTCTAAATTTATATACAATTTAAGACATATATATCTTTTAGCCATTGCTGAAATTAAGTACATTTTAGTTTGCTTTCTTAAGCAGGAAAGTACTATTAAATAAATGATAAATGACTTCATTGCTAATAAGGTATTGGTAGGAATGAGTGAATCAGTTGAGGAAATGAATAAGGAAAAAGTCCTTGTTGAAAGGGCACCTGTCTGGCTCAGTCAGAAGAGCATGTGACTCTTTTTTTTTTTTAAATAAAGATTTTATTTATTTACTTGACAGAGAGAGAGAGAGCACAAGCAGTGGGGGGAGCGGCAGGCAGAAAGAGAGGGAGAAGCAGTCTCCCCATGCAGGACTCAATCCCAGGACCCCAGGATCATGACCTGAGTCAAAGGCAGATGCTTAACCATCTGAGCCACCCCGAGCATGTGACTCTGGATCTCTTGGTTGTAAGTTTGAGCCCCATGTTGGGTGTAGGGATTACTAAAAAAAAAAAAGAAGAAGAAGAAGAAAAAGAAAGAAAGAAAGGCAAAGAAAAGAAAAAAGTTCTCATTGAAAAGTGAGAAGAGTTCCTTAAAAATAGGACTGAGGGAACAAGAAGAGAAAGAATTGATACCCTGACATGGAACATGTTTCAGGATCCAACTGCAGAATGCCACTTCCATTGACACTTTTGAGACTCAAAATGATGCTTCAATTTCTTCCTTGAACATCCAATTAAAGTTTAGGACCCAGAAGCAACCAGTGTCCGACAGCAAACTTACCCTCAAACTTATTACTTTCCAAATCATTCTGTGGCAGGATACCCAGATTGTGACAATACTCTGTCTCAAGATCAAGGGTGAAAGATTAAGAGGGAAGGGGGGATTTCATGGGTTGGTGATTTTTTTTATTTGTTGACCACTGAACCCTAATACATAGACTTCTTTTTTAAAAGCCTGTTGCTTAATTCAATTGGCTCATGCAGATAGATTAAAGAGTATTAGAGTACGTTATTTCCATATTTCCCTGCAACTGTACCTCTAGCCAACTCAGTTGGCATCTGAAATAAATGTATATACACTATGATTCCAGGAGACACCTGGGTGGCTCAGTTGGTTAAGCATCTGCCTTTGGCTCAGGTCATGATCCCAGGGCCCTGGGATCGAGCCCCGCTTCAGGCCCCCTGGCTCAGCAAAGCGCCTGCTTCTGACCCTCGCCCCTGCTCATGCTCTCTCTGTCATAAATTGATAGATAGATAGATGATAGATAGATAGATAGATAAAATCTTTATATACACTATCGGATTCCAAATACCAGAAAATAGGTTTTTAAAGGATATACTTTAAAATGTTAACACATTATGTCTGGATAGTAAAGTTTTAGGAACTATTTTTTCTTTTTTCATTTGTTTTCCATATTTCTACAATGAACATCAGTTACTTATGCAATTGAAAAGAAAATTAATAAAATTCATGCTTTCATAGAGAAATTAAGAAAATGGCCTTTGAGAGTATTGCTTGCTCTCCATTTGATCCAAAGGATATCTTTGATCTTATTGGTGTTCCATCAATACATTATAGTTATAAAAGATGTTCTTTGATCAAATAAACTTAGGAAACACATGGCAGGGATCTAGCGTGCAGTAATTAGCAGAAAATAATTTATTATTTTAATTATGTTAGGATCTGCACTAGAAGCTAGAGACAGAAGCATTAATAAAATCTGAAACTCCCCCTTAAGAAACTCAGTCTAGTAAGGGAGGCAGGTGTATTACATATCCTATTATAATATAATGTAATACAATGTATGCGCTAAAGAGGCAAGAACAAAATAAACCTACAGCATTTAATTTTTGAAACATTAAGTTCCTCTTTCAAGGACAATTAATCTTAGTAAAAGGCAGTATGTTCATTCAAATTTTGAAAACATTAACTATATGGTGATCTTATTTCTTCTCAATCAATTCAGAGTTTTACTACAAAACACATATGTAGATCCCTGTATCCATGCAGTTATTTCTAAACAATTTTCAGTTTTCAAAGTGCATTTTATATACCTTATCCTCCTAACAACCCAAAGAGAAGGAAACAGTCCCCATTTATAAATAAGGAAACTAGGTCTTCTCCTCAAGGCTAACTAGTGGTTCAGAATCTAACCCAGGTGATAATGCAGCCATAATATAGTTACAGCAATGCTGGTGCATGTACTTTATAAGATATATTGATCAATGTTTCAGTCTTGGAATGGTCATACATCCGGTTTACATGAAATAATCAGGTATTTGAAGTTAGGGAAATAGAGAATTAGCCTAAATGTTAGTAAGATGCACAGAGAGACTAGTGATTGCTGTTGGCAGTGTCTAAGACAAAAATAAAAAATAGGGGCACCTGAGTGGCTCAGTGGTTAAGCATCTGCCTTCGGCTCAGGTCATGATCCCAGGGTCCTGGGATCAAGCCCCGCATCGGGCTCCCTGCTCTGCGGGAAGCCTGCTTCTCCCTCTCCCACTCCCCCTGCTTGTGTTCCCTCTCTCACTGTCTCTCTCTCTGTCAAATAAATAAATAAAATCTTTTTTAAAAATAAATAAAAAATAATCAAGGAGGTGACTTCTTCCTCCACTATTATTTTCCAGAAACTTAGTATCTTGAGTTACAAAGTATTTTTTAGTAAATATCTCCTCTATCACTCTGGATTTAATTGTATTATTTGGTGCACATACTCAACAAAAGCATATTAAGCACTAACAACATAGGAACTTACTACAGTGCATTAGGACCATCATACAAGTAAATAAGATTTAAGTCTGCAGATATTTAACAAGATTCTCATGACAGCTGCAGTTTGAATATACAAATACTGATCCCATATTTGCAAATAACAAATGGAAATTTTTTATATAAGGAGTGAAACTGAAACAACTGAAAATGACTTTATATCTAGGGAAAAATATTTTTAAAGTATTTCTGACAGTAAGTGAGAACTGGAGATCCAGCTTATCCTGGTTTTGATACCGGCTACATTGATTTAGCACACATTTTTTTAACCTCTATGGAATACTGGGTTTTTTCACCTGTAGAGTGTCACAAAAATTCAAAAATTAACATGTATTTCTTCTAAAATAAAATTTAGATCACCCACAATGACAGTTTAGATAGCTTTTTAGAGGATCTAGTTTTGTTTTGGTTTGGGTTTTTAGTAAGCACATTTTTCTTTTTTTAAAATCAGTCGACACAGGGTGCCTGGCTGGCTCAGTCAGAAGAGTGTGCAACTGTTGATCTCAGGGTGGTGAGTTCAGGCCCCATGCTGGGTGCAGAGATTACTTAAATAAGTAAATAAACTTAACAAAAAAACCAACTGTGTATCTAATTAAACCAAATTAAGCATTTACATGGCATTTACCTGGTGATCCCTTAAAACCTTTGATGCTTTTCATGAGTAAGGAGACTAGCATCTATTGAAGTCACTCTTTAGAACTATGTTTAACATAAAATTGTACAGATTATACAGAAGAATACTAATGTATTTCTGTCACATTTAAAACTGTATTCCTGGCCAATTCTTGTTAGAAAGGGGGTTATGGTACTAAATAAAGTTTTAAACTGTAAACTACTAGAATTTACCATTTCAAGTATTAGACTGTAGAACTGTAAAGCAGTTTTAACCCAGTTTAACATTCATCTGTAAAGAACAGTTAAAATTGATTGACTTAATCCAATTTCACAGCATTTTATACATCATGCTTGAAATGAAATAAAGACTCATTATTCTGAGATAATGAAGAGGCAAACATTTGGCCTGCTGTTTGGGAAATTACAGGGTGGACCACCTAGGCTCCTTTTAGTAAGATGCTTTTCCAAGAAAAAACTTCCTTGTTTTCTTTAAACAATACAGTCCTATCATAAACTACATCATCTTTTTGTCTTTAGGAAATCCAGGTGTCATTGCTGGGGTGCAGTGTGGGGCTGGAAAAAAAAAGCAGGTGGAAGGTTTGCTGCCTTGGTAACCAGGACGCTCCAATTTCTGTCCCAATCCAGCCCAAGACTAACTGTGACCTTGGGAAGTGTCCCCAGGTCAGTGACTAGGTTTCCCTCTTCTTAATTCTCAGTGCTCAGAGAGGGGGACACGGGTGGGGGGGAAGGGTAGGAACCAGTCCCCAGGGACTGCAGACAACCAGGCTACAGCACGCTCCAGGTTCGCAGTTCCTCAAACCTCGAAGCTTGTCGCCCTGGATCTCCCTACAAGCTCAGCCACTGGCTCCGCTCAGAGCAGTCCGTTCCCGTTCGCCCGCGGGGTACCCCGGCTCTGCTCCGCGCCCCCCCCACCCGCCTTGTGTCTCGCTGCCAGGAAGGGACCTTGCGATCATCCTTCCATTTGCCGAGAAACGCTCCATCTACCCTTAATTCTCACCCCAGTCCTTCCTCCTTCAGAGAACACCTGACACCGCTGCACTCCACAGATCTCCACCATGGCTCTGTCTCAAGACCCATTATCTTCCCTCAGGAGACCTCCCCTTCGCATCGCCTTCACCTCCAAGGAGCCCTCTTTCGCACACCCCATTCTTCCTCAAACTCTCACGCCATTTCCACCCGCCAGCCTTTGCAGAGCTCTAAAGGACCCTCAGCTCTAGTGGGGGGAAAAGCCTCCCCCACCTCCGCCATCGGGATCTGGGGACCCCTCTCACCTCCGCGGTGGGAGATGTGTTTACTGAGGAATCGCTGCTTCTTTCTCGGGTGCAGCAAGGTCGGGTATTTGAGCAACAAGAATGAGGTCACCAAGTACCCTCCCAGGGTGGAGAGAAGGTAAAAAGCCGCGGTGGACGACATCTCTGCCACCGTATGGGAAATCTCCCACCTCCGGGCCCTGTGAACTCCGCTGCTGCGGTCGCAACGGCTGCGGCGGCTGCGGCAGCTGCTCGAGGTCTGCTCGCCCCCAGCCGGTGCCAGCGGTGCAGCGCACTTGTCGGCGCCAGCCCTCCACGCAGGCGCAGCCAGATCCCAAGCGTCTGAGCAACAAAGGGGCTGCGGTACGCAGGCGCGCTCTGGCTGCTGGGTAGGAGCCTGCAGTAGTCCGGTAGTGAGCGTTTGTCACCTAGCTCTGTGGTAGAACCCGCCGCGCTTCAGGAAAGCTCCAAACTGAGGCGGGAGCTTGGAAACCTGCCAGTGCCTTCGCCATCACTCAGGCAGAAAAGGCTACTAAAAGATAGCCTGAATTCAGGAAGGCCTGACATAATTAGAAAATCTGCATCAAAAAAGGAGAGATTCCAGGGGCGCCTGGGTGGCTCAGTTGGTTGAGCGACTGCCTTCGGCTCAGGTCATGATCCTGGAGTCCCGGGATCGAGTCCGGCATCGGGCTCCCTGCTCAGCGGGGGGTCTGCTTCTCCCTCTAACCCTCCCCCCTCTCATGTACTCTCTGTCTCTCTCATTCTCGCTCTCTCAAATAAATAAACCTTAAAAAAAAAAATTATAAAAAAGGAGAGATTCCAGGCACATCTTAGCCGCTATTCTAGTAAGTGCAAAGAACTGTTAGGAATGGAGGAGTTAAAGCTTGCTAAAACAAATTATAAACCCATCCATTTGTCTAGCCAAGATAGAGTTTTCCCTATTGTTACACATAACCGTAAGAGGTACTAGTTTATCAAATATTTGAAGGGCAGACTCCTTTCTCATTTCACTGAGAAATGAGATCCCACGCCTTGTACAGGAAAGGCAGTCAAGAAATATTTGTTGACTTGCAAGTCTACTTACAATAAGAAAACGTTAACAAGGTTATAGGTTATTACTTAAAAGTCTTAGATAGGAAACTCAATCCCAGAAGGCCCAACTAGTTTTCCTTTCATCCATACTTCCAGGTTTACATAAGGAAAATGTGGGACAAAGGTGGCTGGCTACAGGCAGGAGGAGGGCAGTGAAGGTCAAGTTGATCACTGTCTTAAAGTCAATCATGGGTGGGGTCTTGCAGGTTCAGGGCAGGCCCTATTGCTTAAGGGGGTAGTTTCAGTTCCCATCAGGTTATGCTTTGCCTGCCGGATCTTTTGCCTGAGTTAAGAGATAAGCTGGAAAGAACTTAAGTAGAAAAGTCTGAGGTCAAAATAGATAGTTGAAGTCCTCTTTCCAATGAAGATTCTAGAAAACGGTGGCCTACATTAAATTAAAAAAAAAAAAAAAGTAGCTGAAAAGGGGGCACCTGGGTAGCTCAGTGGGTTGAGCGTTGGACTGTTGGTTTCAGCTTAGTTTGTGATCTCAGGGTTGTGGGCTAGAGCCCCGAATTGGGTTCCGAGCTCAGCACAAGTCAGCTTGGGATTCTTCCCCCCTCCCTCTCTCTCCCTCTCTGCTCTTTCCCCTGCTTGTGTGCTCTCTAAAATAAAAATGAATAAGAAAAAAATTTTTTAAAGTAGTTGAAAAAGACTTTTGCATCAGTTTACCACCACAGTAAGTCTATTTCTTGATCTAATATCAAAATATCCAGAGAAATGTTAAAGCCTTTATAGAAGAAAAAGAACTAAGTATAAAAATTCCCAAATATAACCACACTTTTTAAATAAAACATTTTAAGGAAACTCATGAGTTGAAAAATATTGCCTTGTTAGGAATTAAGGAAAGTATCTGGTTAGGTAGGGCTGTCAAATTATATACTATAGATCAGCTGATGGCATGGTTCTGCTTCCCTTTACCAAAATCTCACCTGATAGCAACTTTTATCTAAATTCAATGACTACTATTTATGATGGGAATAAACACATGTATATGATAAATATTACCTGGAAAAAATCTATGTAACTAAGAATATTTAACCTTCAAATATAGAGGTAACTGTGGCTTAGTAGATAGAGCTCTGAACTTAGACCCCATAGATAACAGCTATACCATTTACAAGCTGAGTGACTTTGAGCATATTACTTACTTTAAGCCTCCGTTTCTACATCTGTAAAAGGAGGATAATAGTATCTAACCTCACAGGGGCATTCTGAGGATCTAATGAAGTCAAATGAAAGCATTAAAAGTATCCTATATAAGTAAAGCACTGTCAGAAGTTAAAACATTTTTCTCTAAAATATCACCAACAAATTTGGGAAAAGTATACATAACTGTCAAAATAAGTAACCAAGCAGGTTATTGGAGGCCCAAGAAAAATTAAAAGAACAGGCAAGCAATGATAATAGAATAGCTTTTTTTTTTTTAATTATAGCAATATGACCAGAGAAGTCAACAAGGATGAAGGAGTCAAATTTTGAAGAGCCACCAAAGTTAATAAGGCATTATTTAAACCAAGAATGGAATTTAGTACAATTATCATAGGGAGGAAAATGTTAAAAAAGAAAGTGTATCAGAAATCACTGGCCTGTTTGTTTATTTTTATTTATTTTTTTAAGATTTTATTTATTTGACAGAGAGAGAGAGACAGTGAGAGCAGGAACACGAGCAGGGGGAGTGGGAGAGGGAGAAGCAGGCTTCCCACCTGAGCAGGGAGCCCGATGTGGGTCTTGATCCCAGGACCCCGGGATCATGACCCGAACTGAAGGCAGACACCCAATGACTGAGCCACCCAGGTGCCCCTCTTTCTTTCTTTTTTAAAAGATTTTATTTATTTAACATAGAGCGAGCACAAGAAGGGGGAGTGGCAGAGGGAGAAGCAGGCTCCCTGCTGAGCAGAGAGCCTGACCTGGGGCTCCATCCCAGGACCCTGGGATCATGACCTGAGCTGAAGACAGACGCTTAACTGACTGAGTCACCCAGGTGCCTGGCCTGTTTCCCTGTAAAAAAAAAAAAACTGATGTATGCAGAGGTTAAGTATTTTGCCCAAGATTACATAGCTAGTAGCTGATGTTATAACAAGGTCACCAATCTCAATTCTGTTCAAGGCGTTGGTTGGAGAAGATAGTATTGATCTCCTGAAAAATAAAAGGTTAATTAATGATTCCTTAGGTTGGGGCGTCTGGGTGGCTCAGTCGGTTAAGTGTCTGCAATTGGCTCATGTCATGATCCCAGGGTCCTGGGATCGAGTCCCACATCAGCCTCCCTGCTCAGTGGGGAGCCTGCTTCTCCCTCTCCCTCTGCCCCTACCCCTGCTCCTCCTCTCTCTCTCAAATAAATAAATAAAATCTTTAAAAAACAAACAAACAAAATGATTCCTTAGGTTGTCATTTAAATCCCATCTACAACTGCATTGCCCAAATCATCAGTGCTCTAGATAGCAGATGCAATTGCCTAGGAATATACATCACTGGGATCAGAGATATTTACCCAAGAGTTCTGAAGGAATTCATAAATTAAATTGAGATATTTTTCAAAATAAGAAAACTTGTGCTGATTGGATTGATGGACTGCCATCAGGATTCCTAACCATGACATTGGGAATCTGAAACTAGGCTAGAGCATGGTTCAACTTTCAGTAGGGCAATTTAGCAATATGTGTCAAAGTGCAAAATGTATATATCCCTTGCCCCATCAATCCAAAGTCTACAGTTTATTCTGCAAATAAAAGTTCACAAGTATTAATAAAAGACATATGCATATGGGGCACCTGGGTGATGGGATCAAGCCCCATGTCAGGCTTTGTGCTCAGCGGAGAGTCTGCCAGTCCCTCTCCCTTGGCCCCTCCCTCCACTCATGCTCTTTCTCCCAAATAAAATCTTAAAAAAAAAAAAAAGACATATGTATGCATCATGGTATTCTATCATTGTTTGTAGGAGCCCTAAATTGGAAAGAACCCAAATATCAAATAATAAAAGACAGACTGTGTAAGTCATATGGGAAAATGATACAGCCATTAATAAGACTTTTATTTATTGACAGGAAACATGTCTACCACATGTTGTCGAGTCAAAAAAAGTACATTACAAAACAACTGTATTCTATGATTGCAATTATGTAAGATTGAATACATATCTTCATGTACGTATATGCATAGAGATGCCTAGAAGGATATTCACTAAAATGTTGAAAGTGTTGGCAAAATACTGGCAAAGCAGTGGAATCTCAGGTAACTTACTCTTATCTTTAAAAAAAAATTTTTTTTTTAAGGTTTATTTATTTGAGAGAGAGTGCACACGAATGAGGTGGAGGGACGGGCAGAGGGAGAGGCAGAAAGTGAATCCCAAGCAGACTCCACACTGAGTGCAGAGCCCTACTTGGGGCTTGATCCCAGGACCCTGGAATCATGACCTAAGCTGAAACCAAGAGCCGCTTGACAAACTGTACCACTCAGATGCCTCCCCCCAAATTTTTTTTTTAATTTTTTTTTTTAAGATTTTATTTATTCATCTGAGACACAGAGATAGAGAGAGAGAGAGCATGAGCAGGGAGAAAGGCAGAGGGAGAGGGAGAAGCAGCCTCCCCGCTGAGCCAGGAGCCCGATGTGGGGCTCGATCCTAGGACCCTGGGATCATGACCTGAGCCGAAGGCAGACACTTAACCGTCTGAGCCACCCAGGCGCCCCTCCCCCCCAAATTCTTAATAACAGATATAGTGACTACATATTAGTTTTACAAAAACAAAAAAGGTATGTTCAAAAACAAAAATGTTTTAAATGGGATTATAAGCTAGGTATTCTTGCATTTATACTGAGAAAGCAGCTAGTATAAAATCAAAGATAAAAATTACTGGAAATTAAAGTACATATAACTTAGTAGGAGAAAGGAAGTAATAATCAACTGTTGTAAAACAGTCCTCTAAGAGTGGAATAAAAGGGAACCATAGTATATAATTTACTCTTTAGAAATTTGTTTTATATCTATTCAAATAGAAAATTATTTTTAGGGGCACCTGGGTGGCTCAGTCAGTTAAGCATCACCTTCGGCTCAGGTCATGATCTCAGGGTCCTGGGATGGAGCCCCACATCGGGCTCCCTGCTCAGTGGGGAGGCTGCTTCTCCCTCTCTCTCTGCCTCTCCCCCCTACTCATGCTCTCTCTCTCTCAAATAAATAAATAAATACTTGAAAAAAAAGAAAGAAAGAAAAGAAAAT